TCAAGATCTTCATTAAAGATACTACCCAGCTAGCAATGTGACTAGGAAACACCACGCGTTTTTCTGTCTTCTCTCTAATCCTGTCCACCTTTTTGATAAAAAAAGGTAGTAAGTGCGAAGTGGTCAAGACGGGGGGAAAAAAAGGTAGTTAAGTGTGAAGTGGTCAAGACAGGGGGGAAAAAAGGAGAGAGACATGAATTTTAGAACTGGAGATTACATCTAAGATGATCTTAATACAATATTCTCATTTCACACTTGAGAAGACTAAGACTAGTCTTTAAATTAGCTCTACAACTAATTGGGATATAGGTCTGTATAACCTTCCACTAAAATCAGAAAGAAAATGGATATGGCCTTAATTTGAGGAGGAAGACTTAAAACAGCCTCTAGACTAAAGGAAAGTGTTTTAGCACATTACCTACCTGTCTTTGGGCTTTCCTTTCTATGTGACAGAAACACAGCTACCCAACAGACATGGCTTTCCCTCTAACTTGCTAACAGAATCCCAATTTCTCCTGGGCTGCACTCAGTGTGCCGAACCCTAGGAAATGATAATCCCACTCCCCTCAGCCATAAACATTTCCCCAGTCTCTCCTGTGACTGGGGGCAGTCTTGTAATACAGCTCAAGCAAATGAGACTTAAGAGAAAGTGGGATGGATGCCTCTGGAAAAGATTTTGTTCTCTGTTAGGCAAGCACAGGAGGAGGGACTGTTTGCTTGGTCCCCTTCCTCCTTCTTGCCTCGGAAAGGAATGTGATGTCTAGAGCTGAGGCAGCCATTTTGTGACCTGGCAGCAGTAAATGAACACGAAAGAAGTGGCAAAGTCAAAGCCCCCGGCAAACCAGGGGCCTTGAGAACACTGCTGAGCAGCTAAACCGACAGAACTGCATAATAACAAACAGCTTATGGTGTAAACCTCTGCTAGTGGATTTCTATTAACTACAGCTGAAAGCAGTTCTGAATTTTTTTTTTTTTTTAGATTTTATTTATTTGATAGAGAGAGCATGCGCAAAAGCAGGGGGAGCAGCAGAGGGAGAGAGAGAAGCAGGCTCCCTTAAGGGAGCCCAACACAGGGCTCCATCCCAGGAACCCGGGATCACGACCTGAGCCTGGGCCGAAGGCAGACACCCAACTAACCAAGCCACCCAGGCGCCCCAGTTCTGAAATTTTTTAAAAAAATTTTCTCTAGCATGCTATGATTTTCCTGCCCAATCTTACTCCCATTACAATATATTCTGCTTACACTACAAGCAACTAAGAGGTGACGGGATTATATTTCTCCTGAATAGGTAACAGAGACCAATCTACAGTACCTCAACTACATGACTCTATTAAAATGTCATCAATAGGGAAAACATAAAGGAAAAAAACATGATTTAGAATCATGTTTGTTCTTCATTACTGACTTTGATCCTTCCTTCTGCCATCTCAAATCCTTTTTGGAAATAAGTACCACATGTAAAACAAACTGATAAATGATATCTATTGGAACTAAACTCTTCTGTCTCCTGTTAGTAAAAAATAAAGTATTACAATTTCACTCTTGAATCTGCAGTCCCAAACCTGGCCCAGCCAATATTTTCATATACTGATGCTCACAATCAAAGCTTAGAGACTTACCAGCACTACACCAAACTCACGGCATTGTTATTTTCTACTATAATGGAATATATATGGGCTATAATAAAATTTAAATGTTGGTAAGACATTAAAAGTCAGACTATCCAGTGCAGTGATTTAAATAGCTATTTTAACCATATTTTGATAGAAATCTTTCAAATATGTTTACTTCCATGACTCCTGCTGTACCCAGCTCTGCACTTCCCCGGGCCCCACTGTCCCTGTGCCCAGCACACGGGAGAACCTGCTTCACCCCCCAGCCCTCTCTACCCTCCAGTGCTTCTCTCTCCACTCTGTCCACAGCCCAGTCCTGCCTGCAGCTGTTTCCATGACCACCAATGTCTACACCACTCAGTCTCCTTTGATAATTTCTTCTTTCTAACCTCATTTGTCTTCTGTCATCCCTCAGCTTCCTTAGGGGGTAAAAAAAAAAAAAAAAAAGTCAACAGCCTCCCTGGTTGGAAGGAACAAACAACTGCCATCAGCACCGATTCTCCTCTCAATTATGAAACCATCTCTTCTGCTGCCATTCAAGAAAAAAATGAGCAGGTACTAATTTTGAGCACAGATATAAATGAGTATGAACAGATATCTATGTATGTGCATATATGGGGCTCCATGCTTTTCTAGTTTAAAAAGAAAAAAACAGGGAGAACAAATGCTCATTTTTTGTTCAGCTGTGGAGTGCTATCTACCGACTCCTCCCTTCTGTCTGTCCTCTACCCAACCACTTTCTGGTATTATATGACCTTCCACCCATTATGGTCTCTGGTTCGCATGGCTCATCCCACACACTAGCATATTTCCTTCTTCCTCATAAATTAATCAGTTAAGATGGGAACATTACTTAATTTATATAGATGTCTATGTCAGACTTCTCTAAAAATATGTTAGGACACGGTGGTAGTTATATCAGTATTGTCCAAGATTGATCCAGAGACCCCGGGTGGGGGGTCCCTGAGACCCTTTCAGGGGATCCATGCTGGCAAAACTATTTTTAGTAATACGAAGAGGTTATCTGCCTTTTTTGCTCTCACTCTCTCGTGAGTGTTACAACAGCAAATCCAGAGGATATATGGTATGTGGTGACAATGTATCATGCTGACAACTAGTGGAACATATGCTCATATATTCTTGTGTTTTCTAGAATTTTCTAAGGTAGTAAGTGTAAGGCATAAATATATACATTTTCAGAAATGAGTTGAGTGTATTCTCAGTACTTTCATGTTCCTAGCAATAGCAATCTTTGGTAATATCTGCTATAATCTCCATAACTTCATTATCATCCAATGAATTCATTTAGTGTTTAAAGAAAGAGAAATGGAATGTTTTAAACACTGACAAGATGAGCTCTTTAAAAGCAGAAGACTTGGGGCACCTGGTGGCTCAGATGGTTAAGCGTCTGCCTTCGGCTCAGGTCATGATCTCAACATCCTGGGATCGTGTCCCACCTCAGGCTCCTTGCTTAGCAAGGAGCCTGCTTCTCCCTCTGCCTGCCACTCCCCCTGCTTGTAGTCTACCTCTCTCTCTCTCTGGCAAATAAATAAACAAAATCTTAAAAAAAAAAAAAAGCAAAAGACTTTACATATCACAAATAAACAAGCCACTGAAGCATTATACAGGATAAATAACCAGATTGCACTGGTTTAACAGTGCACACAATAGCTGAGAAACTAATGAAGCGTGGTATGGTTAACACTGCTGAATGTCTGCTGGATGAAAAGTCAGTAAGAGGAATCATAGCAGTGCCACTTAAAAATGATGCAGGATCTCATCAAATTAAAGATTTAGTTGCAAACATGAGTTAGAAGTTAATATCTCACCTTAAGGACTGTACTTATGCTTTATAAGTGAACAGATCCGTAGACATGGGTGGACTTACTGTTTTGTTTTCACTATTCCAGTATCCATGCCAACTAATTGAAGAAGGTCTTCTTTTATGTGAATGGTTGCAACAAATAAGAATGCTATTGAATTACTCAAAGTATTAAATAACTTTTTTGAGTCTCATGATTTATCCTGAAACAACTATGTAGATATCTGCTCTGAGGGTACAAAAGATGGGCAAAACTGCTGGTGCTTTAGCATGAATCAAGGCAGAAGTATAAAACTGTACTAGTAATAATTATATTCTTCACTGTACCAATCTTTTAAAAAAAAAAACCAGTTTCACTTCACAATGTCCCTGATAAAACATTAAGAGTTATTAATTTCATTGCATCTCACTCTTGAGAACTTGGTCTTTCTAATATTCTGTGTGATGAAACAGGAGGTACACAAAAAATACTTCTGCTGCATATTTAATACAATGGTAGTCTTAAGCAAAAAACAATTTATACAATTGTTGCAGTTGTGAAGTAAACTGTACACTTTTTTCATAGAATACCATTTTTGCTTAAAAGAATGACTCGCAGACAACAGTTATTCAGACTGAGGTATTTGGCAGGCATTTTCTCTAAAGTGAATAAAGTGAGCCTGACACTTCAAGGGAAAAAACTGACAATATCTGTTGCCGATGATAAAATTTGAGTTTCAAAAAAAATTAGAATTTTGGAAAACTTGAACTCAACAGCAAAATCTTGACCACTTCCCAATTCTCAAAGGCTTTTTTGATGAGAATAATGGTCATATTAATGAATGTGATTTGTTAAATATTGTGTAATCAAATGTGTCAATATTTGAAAGATCTGTATAACTCAGTAAACCATTATTTTTCAAATGACCAATGCATGATGTTACAAAATCACATACAGGTCAAAGATCCATTCAAAGTTCAAGACGGACCAATAGAATTTTAATGTTATGGAATATAAAAAAAATCACTGGTATGGTTTCAGATTCAACACTGCAACTAACTTTTAAGGATCTACCACTTGTTGAGTTTTGAAAATGTGACAAAGGATATTCACAGTTACAAAAGCTATTAAAACAGTCCACCCTTTTTCAACTATGTATCTGTGTATAGAGGCCTTTCCCCATATAATTCAAACCAAACTATCATAACAGATTGAAATATAAAAGCAGTTATGAAAATCCAACGTTTTCTATTAAGCAAACACAGTAAACAAAGTGGCAAAATGCAAATGTCACACTTCTCACTATATTTTTTGCTTTGGACTATCTTTTTTATGAAACTATGTTATCTGTATTATTAACCTTTAATAAGTTTATTTTTAAATGAATAAACATTTAAACATTTCTCAGTTTTCATTTCTAATATTTTGAATATTGATAGATATATTCCACATAAACAAAAGATCTTTGGGGTCCTCAATAATTTTTAGGAATACAAGGTGTCATGACACCGAAATGTTTGAAAACCAGTGGCTTATAACACCTAAAAAGAACACTTATAAGAATGTATATAAGAAAATAAGCACCTGAAAATGAATCAGAAGATCTCGGCTCCAAGTCCAGCACCACTTCTTACTTGCTTTGGGATCTGTATAAATTACTTAGACTAAGGTCTTAGTTTCCTCATCTGTTAAGAAGGATAACTCATATCTTGTTCTGAGGATAAAAGAAAAAATATATCAAAGCAATTTATAAACTACAACTATGTTATTATTACAAAGTCTCAAAGCTGGGTGGCTCAGTTGGTTAGGCGACTGCCTTCAGCTCAGGTCATGATCCTGGAGTCCCGGGATCGAGTCCCGCATCGGGCTCCCTGCTCGGCAGGGAGCCTGCTTCTCCCTCTGACCCTCCCCCCTCTCATGTGCTCTCTCTCTCTCTCTCACTCTCGCTCAAAGAAATAAATAAATCTTTAAAAAAAAAAAAAAAGAGTTTTAAATACTTCTAATGACCAAAATTCTCCTTATTTTGGGCGCCTGGGTGGCTCAGTTGGTTAAGCGACTGCCTTCGGCTCAGTTCATAATCCGGGGTCCTGGGATCGAGTCCCACATCAGGCTCCCGCCTCAGTGGGGAGCCTGCTTCTCCCTCTGACCCTCTCCCCCCATCTCATGCTGTTTCTCTCTCTCTCTCAAATAAATAAATAAAATCTTAAAAAAAAAATTCTCCTTATTTTTAAAAATCCATTACTAAAAGCAGAACTTACAGAAAATGTGAAGGGGAGATTTTTGATTAGTCAATTAGCTCAAATGTCCAACCACAAAATTTTACTGTATCAAATTTCTTCCTCTACGGTTCTAATTGGCAATGTATATTTTAATTATTATGGGTATTTCCAAATATAGATAAAAATACAGACAATAATAACAAACCCCAATGTAGCCATCACCTAGCTTCAACAATTATCAAAAATTTGCCAATATTGTTTTATTTACTTCCCATTTGTGTATGTTTGTGCCTATCCTGAAGTTTTTTATTTTTTTTTTTATTTTTTAAAGATTTTATTTATTTATTTATTTGACAGAGAGAGACACAGTGAGAGAGGGAACACAAGCAGGGGGAGTGGGAGAGGGAGAAGCAGGCTTCCCGCTGAGCAGGGAGCCCGATGTGGGGCTCGATCCCAGGACCCTGGGATCACGACCTGAGCTGAAGGCAGACGCTTAACAACTGAGCCACCCAGGCGCCCTATCCTGAAGTTTTTTAAAAACATATTAGATATCATTTCATTTTGCCTATAAATACTTCCATATGCCTCTTTAACAGATGAGAATTTTTTAACATAACCACAATACCATTAACATGGATAAAAACTTAATGGCTATAATTCTTATATATCATCTAATACACACTCCATGTTTCCTGTCTCCAAAAAAAAAAAAAGTCTTGTTAGTTTTTAGTTGCTTCATATCATCAAAAAATCATTTACCAGTTCATTTTCAAGTGAACACAAGATTTTTAGCTAAAGCTAGGAAGGAAAAGGAAATAATGCCATGCTTTATATACCATGTACAGTTTATAAAGCAAAGTCAACAACTATCTTCCTGAGGAATGTGTTTCTCTCCCAACCAAACAACAAATAACAACAGAAACCCACTATAAAATAAGCCAGACTGGCAATACTTCAGTGTCCTGAGAGGTGACCAGAAGAGGACATAGCTCAGCTACTCAGGAAGATAAAAGCTGATAGGAGACAACCACCCACCTCTTCGGAAAAGATGAGGTCAGATCAGCCACAAGCTGGAGGTGAGGTCAGGGTCCAGGTTCTCAGAGTGAGCAACACTGCTCAAACAAGACAGGTGCCCAAGGCTATAAGGCAACCCCCTGCAGGTTTCATCTCAAAGCTCGAAAAACAATGCTCTAAGCTAGAGACTTAATGGAACCATGGTCAAAAGTAACAGTTGTAAGAATTTATTCAGCAAATATTTATCAAAAGACAACTCTACTAGGCACCACCTAGGATATGAGTGGTATTTTTTTTTAATTTACACAATGCAAACAATAAGCAGCATATACCTCTCTACACATGTCTTTCCCCATTGATTTTAAGGGGAAGAGTGGAAATTACTTAATATTAATGACCTTGCCATTTACCATTACAATTTATAGTGCATCTTTTTTCTGTAAACTGCAGTCTGCCCCACTCCTCATGCAGTCACTAAAACAAATCTGAGTTCTATTGTCCTTCTCACACACACCACAGACCCCTAGCGTTTATACCTACAATTCTCTGAATATTCAGTTTAGAAGGAAACCAAGCGGGGGGCGCCTGGGTGGCTCAGATGGTTAAGCGTCTGCCTTCGGCTCAGGTCATGATCCCAGGGTCCTGGGATCGAGCCCACATAGGGCTCCTGGCTCAGTGGGGAGCCTGCTTCTCCCTCTCCCTCTGCCTCTCTCCCTGCTCATGCTTTCTCTCTCTGTCTCAGATGAATAAATAAAATCTTAAAAAAGAAAAAAATAGAAGGAAACCAAGGGAATGCTAAAGAATTTCCCACCTCCTCTGAAAACTGTTTTCTCTTCCATAGGCTTAGCCCAAGTATGTCAGAATGTACTGTAGAAGCACATGTAATATACAATTAATATAAATCCTTTTTAGAATCTTTTACCTCAATTTCAACCTATAGATTTTTTTTTATTTAAAAGTGCAGACAAGAGGAGGGAACATATTTCTTACAGAATGCTTGAGAAGTACTTTATAAATGTGTCTAAAAACGTAATAGGGCGCCTGGGTGGCTCAGTTGGTTAAGCGACTGCCTTCGGCTCAGGTCATGATCCTGGAGTCCTGGGATCGAGTCCCATATCGGGCTCTCTGCTCAGCAGGGAGTCTGCTTCTCCCTCTGACCCTCCCCCTTCTCGTGTGCTTTCTCTCTCGCTCTCTCTCATTCTCGCTCTCTCAAAATGAATAAATAAAATCTTTAAAAAAAAAATTAAAAAAATAAATAAAAACATGTAATAGTTACTAAAAAAATTTTAGTTGACACGATGAAGAACATCTCAACAATAACAAAACCTAGTGGTCAGATAACTATAGTGAGTCCAGACTTTCCCATTTTGGAACTGACATTTTGCTTCAAGTTTCTACTATTTGTAGAAAAACAGTATAGGGGCACCTGGGTGGCTCAGTCAGTTAGGCGTCTGCCTTCAGCTCAGGTCATGATTCCAGGAGGATCAAGCCCCACATCGGGCTCTCTGCTTGGTGGGGAGTCTGCTTCTCCCTCTCACACTCCCTCTGTGCTAATAAATAAAATCTTAAAAATACATAGTTGTATCATTTACATTCATCAGAATATTATACGCAAAACAGAGTTAAGTGGGACTGTAATTAGCCCTCTATAATTTCCTTGACCCTGCCCGTTATCTTCATTAGACATCACAATTTGTCATCAGGTTTTCCATGTAGTGTTTACTTGTTTACTATCCCTCCATTTTCTCCCACTAGAATTTAGGGCCCATAAGGACAAAAACTTTATCTTATTTTCCACTGTATGTCCGGTTCTTAGAACAGTGTCTAACATACAGTAAAGGCTCCAAATAAATTTGCTGAATGAAGAGATGGATGAATGACCTCCCCCATTTCCTTTCCTCCATACACATGTTAACCATCCTTTAAGGCCAAGGTCAAATTCTGTTATCTCTATGAAGATTACCTCCCCATTACCTCCCCCAATGCTCCAATCTCTTTCTCCCTTATACCATGAATTTGGCACTTCCCAGTTGTCTGATAACTGTTTATTTTTACAAATGTACATACTTTGCTTAAAATTCTTATAATCCTCCTCTCCTTATTAAGGGCATGGATCCATGTCTCCAGCTTTGGGTATCCACTTCAGTATATATAAACAGCATATCATTAATAAATGTTTTGCTTGATTTATATCTATAGTTAATCTAGAAATCGAGTCAATAGTTCCAACTTTTTAAACCTATCCCTCCCTTTCTCAGTTGAAATTGCAGTGGGTGTCTGTATTTGGCAATTTCAAGTTCTACATTCTCATATAACTTATGCTCATAATTCACTTTATCCATCCCTTCTCCCAAGATTAAACTTTTTATGTCATGAAAAATCTCGCGACTTTTTAATGATACCTATAATGAGGTATCTAATCCCAATCGAGGAGGAGAAGTTTCATTACCCCCTTCTTGTTGCCAAAGTATTGAGTATTTTTTCCCTTTATCCCTTTTTTCTTTCATGCCAAGATATATCCCATTTCCTTCTTTATTGATCATACCCCTGGCAAGCTTTTATTTCTTTGTACCTGTCCTTAGTAATCTGCCTTAGATCCTTCCTTTTGAGCCACTACTGTATTTATTTGATTAAATTTCTAACTCTTTCTCAGTGTAGGAGAATGGCCTATTCTTAAAGCCTGAGCTTGCTTCTTTAAATCCAGCCAACCTTTATGAACCTCATCCCCTCACACAGCCAACCCTTGATCATGGGCTAATGAAATATACAAAAATATGAGATTATCCACAACACAAGAAAATTAAAAAAAATCGACATCTGGCTTTGAAATATATCATGTGGCTTTGGGCAAGACTTACTTTCTTAATTATGCTTTTGCTTAGGCCAACATTAGTAATATTTTCTTTTATGATGGTGGATATCTGTCTTAGTTTTGGATTTTGATGCAATTTTTAAAAAGCCAATCAAGCATCAATTGTGGTTTTTCCTATGAAGTCTTTTAACTAGTTTTTTCAATCTGTTGAAGTCTGTCATAAAATCTGGTTTCTGTTTGCCCTGATTCCTTTCCTCCCTTTTCTTAGAATTCTGATCCAAATCAACTTACTCTATATTAATTTACTTCTTCAACTTAAAATTGCATTTGCTTGAGAATGCAAAGCATTTTAAAAACAATTAAACGTTCAGTGAAATTTTTAGTCCAAATAACACAGGATAGAAAATCCCACTTTTTTAGATAATCCAGGAAAAGTCTGGGGAAAATTACACTGGTAATTCTAGCAAAATATATTTAGTAGGATATTGTGATTGGTTGAAAATAGGAAAACGTTAATATTGGACAGCTATGTAAATCAGCTTCATCAGTATATAATCTCATAGACCAAAACCTCTATGGAATCAAATTCCCGATACAAGCATTTATAGAAAATAGCTTCAACCCTGGCCCTTCTCCTGGCCCCAGACTAAACTCCGCACCCATCACAGACCTGATCTCAGCCTCGCTTCTACAAATAA